ATTCTCCTGCCTCAGCCTCCCAAGTAGCTGGGACTACAGGTGCCCGCCACCATGCCTGGCTAATTTTTTTGTATTTTTAGTAGAGATGGGGTTTCACCGTGTTAGCCAGGATGGTCTCCATCTCCTGACCTCGTGATCCACCCACCTCGGCCTCCCAAAAGTGTTGGGATTACAGGCGTGAGGCACTGCGCCTGGCCGGCAGAACTTTTTTTTATTTTTTATTTTATTTTAAGAGATTAGGTCTTGCTCTGCCTCGCAGGCTGGAGTACAGTGATGTGATCATAGCTGACTACAGCCTTAAACTCCTGGGCTCAAGTGATCTTCCCACCTCCCGAATAGCTGGGGCTACACGTGTGCATCACTGTACCCTGCTAATTTTTTTTAAAGAGATGGGGTCTCACTGTGTTGCCCAGGCTGGTCTTGAACTCCTGGCCTAGAGCAGTTCTCCTACCTTGGCCCTCCCAAAGTGTTGAGATTACAGGCATGAGCCACTGCGCCTGGCCAGCAGTACATTTAAAGCTGTAGAAACAAAAATGTTCAAAGCATTATCATCACCGCATTTCTGTCTCTCTCCCAGCACTCCTTGTTACCCCTTAAAAATGAAGTATTGTGGATGTTAAAGACTCCCAACAATGTTTCCTGCACATAATACTTAGTATTAAACAGTAATTTTTACTTCTGTTCATGTTTTCATAATGAAGCTGTATTTAAAACATTTGTTAAAATGGCCATGACAAGGTATCCTGCTTTAATTACTAAAACCCTAACTGTATTAACTACTTTCATTTTTTATGATCCTTTAAAGCACGTTTTATATATTTTATATATTTGTCTTGACTTGAGGTTTTTTATATCACGTTTTCCTACTTAAAATGATTTTTTTTTTTTAAGATAGTAAGTCAGACTTTATTTAAGAGGAGCCAGAGGGGATAAGTATGGGGACCACTGTGGTGGGATCTTGGAGTAGGGGAAAGAGATTTGACTCAATTCCTTAAAATGATTCGTAACCACTTTTTCAAATTATTTACTATTGTACTATATGTGTGTGTACATATATATACACATACATAAATGTTTTAATGGGTATAATACCCTATTTGCTTATATAGTCATCCACTTCACTGGGAGTAGTCATTTAAATGGAAAATTATTTTTCATAATTATAAATAGCATTCCATTAAACATGCTTATAGTTTTTTTTCTGCTTTTTGTTTGTTGTTTGGTTTAAAATGACTGTTACATTGTTATAGAAGGCTAGTGAAAATATGGGCATTATTGGTCATCAGGTGTGAATTTTGTGTGTGTGTGTGTGTGTGTGTAGGGAAGAGGGTATGTTTAATTCTGCCTCCTACAGAATGTTTTGGGTTTTGGTTTTGTTTTACTGTCAATTTGACTTGAATATGAACCATATTCTTTCTTGGCCAAGCCATTAGTTTTGAGTTTTTCCCTAAAAATATGTGTCAGGGATACCGTAAAAATGGTTTACGTCTCTCCTTATTCCTATTCCTGAAATATGTCCTATCTTAGCACTAGAGTCTAAGCAACAGCAATGAAAGGTATCTATTAAAGACAGTGAAGAACTCACTGGTCATATGGTTTTTATTATAAAATAAAATCCATTTATTCCTTCCCAATGAGAAAAAAAAATTATTTTGGGTTTATTTGTTAGTCATAAGAGCCAAGCATCACAATTTACTCGCTTCTAGTCTTTCAGTCTGTCCCTATCAAGAAGTACTTACTGATTCCATAATCTACTTTGTGTGTATTTAAGTAGTAGGTAAATGGGCTGTGATGGTTCAACTATCTTTCCATTCCTCACTGTGTGAGATTAGTTGATCAGATGATATTGGGCTTTGGGGTATTGAGAAACATAGAATATATTGTTAGTGTGTGTTTCGAGTCCTGGTTTATCGTTTAACTGTGCATCCTAGAAACAGGCATTAATATTCTTGAGTCCTTGTTTTCTCATCTATAAAATGAACAGAATGCCTCAGGATGGTTTTGATTTGCATAAGATAAGGGATATTAATAATGATAGATTCAAAGCACCGTATACCTTGATGGTTACTTACAGTTATACACATAGTTACCTTAATAGTATTGAGGGGGAAATTATTGACAGTAATGGGCTATGAAATAACATCTGGTCATGTTCATCCTTCTGGTGTCTGGCCCTAAAAATCTGACCTCTAGGAGCCTTGAAGTCTGTGTTGTTGAAGCCCAGTGTTAACCATACAGCATGGCTACTCAGAGTTCACAAGCTGTGATAACCTTGGTGGTGAAGTAATATGTAACATGATATAATATACATTTATGTCTGTGTATCTACATATTCGGTATCTTTAATATTTGGAGCAATTGTGTTATCAGAAGTGACTGATTTTTTTTACACAACTGCATACTAAACAGAAAAGCTCAATTTTAACAGAGGTCATGTAATTTGTAGTGGTCTTGTGACACTAATAAGTGACTTATTCTCACAGAGTTATTCTAAATTACATCTCAAGAGTTTGAGTGCTTAGACTGTAATTTTTCATTTTAGGTTGGTTCAAAAGTAGTCATGGCTTTTACTGTTAAAAATGGCGAAAACTACTTTTGTACTGACCTAATATAAAGTGAAGTGATTCAGATATAAAGTAATTTAATGATTTTTTTATTCTTCTAGAAGTGGTGACAGAAAAATTGTATTTTTCCCTCTAAAACCTATTGGACCTTCTTAGATTTATTCTGTAATTCCCATTAGAAATCACATTTTAGCTGGGCACAGTGGCTCATGCCTGTAATCCCAGCACTTTGGGAGGCCAAAGCGGGTGGATCACAAGGTCAGGAGATCGAGACCATCCTGGCTAACATGGTGAAACCCCATCTCTACTAGAAATACAAAAAAATTAGCCGGGCGTGATGGCGGGCCCCTGTAGTCCCACCTACTCAGGAGGCTGAGGCAGGAGAATGGCGAGAACCCGGGAAGCGGAGCTTGCGTGTGCTGAGATCGCGCCACTGCACTCCAGGCTGGGCGACAGAGCAAGACTCTGTCTCAAAAAAAAAAAAAGCACATTTTAGGCCCGGCATGGTGGCTCACTTCTGTAATCCCAGCACTTTTGAAGGCCAAGGTGGGCGAATCATCTGAAGTCAGGAGTTTAAGACCAGCCTGGCCAATGTGGTGAAACCCCATCTCTGCAAAAATTAGCTGGGCATGATGGCGGGTGTCTGTAATCCCGGCCACTGGGGAGGCTGAGGCAGGAGAATCATTTGAAACCTGGGAGGC